TCCCTCCCTCCCTCCCAACCAATGTTCCCTCTAACCTGTGGAGTCTTGTGAGCAAAAATTCTACTTTGTGAGCTGCTGGCATTAAAGTTGTGAGTGAGCAATTTGGCTGCTGCATAAATTAGTCTGCTCTGGAGCCATCCTTCCTGAGCTGAGACAAAAATGTGTGAGCTGGAGGCTAAAAACTGTGAGCTATCTCACACTAACTCAGCTTAGAGGGAACACTGCTCCCAACCTCTAGATGGTGGCTGCAGATCTCCTGGGATCACAACTGATTTCGAGACAATAGGGATCAGTCCACCTGGAGAAAACGGCTGCTTTGGAAGGTAGACTCACTACCCAAAGGAGTCTGGCTTGCAATCTCCTTTCCCTTCCCCTCCCCACAACGGACACCCCGTGACGCAGTGTTCCCTCTAAGCTGAGTTAGTGTGAGCTAGCTCACAGTTTTTTAGCCTCCGGCTCACACATTTTTGTCTTTGCTCAGGAAGGATGACTCCAGAGCAGACTAATGTATGCAGTAGCCAAATCGCTTGCTCACAACTTTAATGCCGGTAGCTCACAAAGTAGAATTTTTGCTCACAAGACTCCACAGCTTAGAGGGAACATTGCGCCGTGAGGTAGGTGGGGCTGAGAGAGCTCTCTTGAGAACTGCTCTTGAGAGCACCGCTCTTTACCGCTCTGAAAGAACTGTGACTGACCCCAGGTCACCCAGATGGTTTAATGTGGAGGACTGGGGAATTCAACCCGGTTCTCCCAGATTAGAATCCGCACTCCTAACCACAACACCAAACTGGCTTAAGGGTGCTTTCATAAATGCTGAATAACGCACCTTCAGTCCACTTTCAGTGCACTTTCATGATCATTTGTGTTGTACATATTAGATTCCATGGCAAAAAATGAAGTCAAATGAGGAAGATCTATGTTTTATTTCAATTAACAGGAAAACAATTGGACCAAATAACTCATCAAAAATTGACAACTTTCTTCTTTTTCTTCTTTATCATCTTCTTCTTGAACATATTCTGAACATATTCAGGAAATACATTATATTTTATACATGGACTGACATCAGCTAGAAAACAATATTCAAAAAGCATAATTGGTTATAAAAGACAGTGGTCATTTGAGTAATAAGCCTCTGATTTGTCAGATGGCTCTCTACATATAGCTACATCAAATCTACGTAAAACCTAAGTGTTTACTTAACCTAACCTAAATGATAATGGGCAAGGATTCTTCATATCCCAAACAAAAGTATTTTTTACTGATACGAGAATTAAATCTTCTCTGACCCAGACATTGCAAGGTTTTGCCCTTAAGAACTACAGAATCATGAACTTTGTACCTATCATGTTGTCTGCTAACAATATCAGACCTACAAGAGGAAAGCCTTCTATATAACAGGCCTTTCTAACATCCTAATAAAATATTAATTAGAAGAGAAATCCATAAAACCAGGGAAAAAATAGGAATATGAGCAATCAAGAAGAAAAAACCCTATATAAAAAAATCTTTATATTCCTATTCATACTACATTTGCAAGTGGGCGTTGCCATTCCACACAGTAAAGTCCAGGTGCAAAGTGCATTGAAAGCGGATTGAAAGTGTGTCATTCAGTGCCAAAGGCTTTGCTTCCAACTCTGCTTTCAGATTTCTGTTTGCTTTCGGCTCTGTGTAGCCCAAACCTTGCTGCACTCTTCGTTGGATGCCCCATCCTTTGGCTTTTTACTTGACTCATGCTGTGTCATCCACCTTGAGTCTCAGCAACAAAGGCAGACTTTAAAGAACCTAAATAAACAATAAATCTGAGCTTTATGCTCGGAAGGAGCAACAATGTTCTCGCAGAGGGACAGAACGTTTGCGCCCGGTCTCGAGGAATATGCCGTGACCTGGATAGCCTTGTCAGATCTCGGAAGCTAAGCGAGGTCGGCCTTGGTCAGTGTCTGGATCATGGGAGACCACCAAGGAATACCAGAGGCAAGCCATGGCAAACCATCTCTAAATGCTTCTCGCCCGGAAAACCCTACAGGTCACCGTAAGGCACTCTCCACCACCACTTGAGGTATACGGGCAAGCCTGTCTACTCTGGGGCAAGTTGAGAAAGCTGGCTGCCCTTGTCCAGCTCCCTGCATAACAGAGACCTCCAAGAAGTCCCTATGGGTTGCTCTCTTTGTAAAATTGTGGAAGGAAGGAAGGAAGGAAGGAAGGAAGGAAGGAAGGAAGGAAGGAAGGAAGGAAGGAAGGGAGG